AAGAATGGACTAACAGTTAACAAAGGGAAAGGGACTGGGGAAGATCGGTGGGAAGGGAGGGATAAGGGTGGGGAAAAAGAAAGGGGGCATTACAATTAGCATGTGTAGTGGGGAGGGGGCACGGGGAGGGCTGTGCAACACAGAGAAGACAAGTAGTGATTCTACAGCATCTTACTATGCTGATGGACAGTTACTGTAATGGGGTTTGTGGGGGGGACTTGTTGAAGGGGGTAGTCTAGTAAACACAATGTTCTTCATTTAAATGTAGATTAATGATACCAAAATTTAAAAAAAAGAACAAGAAAGGTAGTAGAAAACACATTAAATTAAAAAAATTAATCAGTGGCTTCATTGCAATACTCTAAAAGATGGTGGGGTGTGGGATAGCACATTCATATTTGCAGAAGAATGGCAACTAAAAATGTAGAAAAACTTCAGTAGCAAAGTTATCACTTTTGCAACACCCACTATAAGACAGTTCAGACTAAGATGCTAAAAACACTGGATGAAAGCTTGTTAGGAAGAGGATATTTACACATCTAAAATATCATCCCAAGGGAGTAGCTATTATAAAGGGAGAAACATTCTTTACAATGGAGCTATCTGATCGGCAACCCTTCTTTTTTTAATTGAAGTATAGTTGATAGACAATATTATATTGGCTCAAGTATACAAAACAGTGATTTATCAATTACACCCATTAGTAAACCCTCATGATTGGCAACACTTTAACCACAGTTAACATCACCAAGAGTGAAACAACCTGACATTACAAGTCCCCTAATATATGTAATGAGAGAGAAACAGTATCAGCTTTGTATTATTTTGCCATAAACAGTGTAACCTGAGGCTAATCAGGAGCAGAGAAATCCAGAATGCAGGGCATTCCACAAGACAAATGATTTGAACTTCTCAAAATAATCTACCTTGGTTTGGGAAAGTTTAAATATGGCCTGTGAATCATACCATTGAATTACTGTTCCTTTACTTGGGTGCATGTTTGTGTTGCGGTCCTTATTCTTGGGAGATGCAAACTGAAGTATTTAGGGGTGAGGAGTCATGATATCTGCAACTGACCCAAAAAGGGTTAAGAAAAAACTTCTATGTATGTATCTAAAGATAGAGGAGAAAGTAAGGCAAGATGTTAACAATGGGCAAATCCAGGTGAAGGGTTCATGGATGTTTATTGTACCATTTTTTCAACTTTCTGTATATTAGAACATTTTGAAAATAAAGACATGGGAGAATAATTTTTAATATAATAAAAACATATCATCGCTTATTCAGAATTTATATTTGAGAAAATGAGGAAAACAAGCAATCTTAAGGAAATGTAACAAGATCTCAGACTTAAAACAATTTTGCACATGTCCTATATATTAAGTATACATCTAACCAAAAGCACACTCAGTCCTAGATAATTACAACTATTTACTTTTCTTAAGCAAGTAAACTTTATTATTTCAGCACCTGAAATTAAAATAGGTAAAAAAAAAATTACAGGATAAGTTCTAACTCACATAGAATAATATCTCATTATTCAAATAATTAAATGATCTAATAAATGTAAAGGGCCTTCCAGAGAACTCTGTACAGAGGCTATTACTGACTGACTTACAGAGGTACACCCATAGGCTAGACACCGCGTGGACGCAGCTGATGCTCAAAACTATCTGTTGCCTGACTCACCCAAGCCCCATCCTCCCTCAAATCAAGCTCACACCCTCCACAGAGATGATGACTAACAGTTTTGGGTGCAGGATTTTCTCTACCTGTACAACTAAATTATATGCAAGGATACACGTAAGTACAGTATATCTCACTGTATTATACATCTAACTATATATGGAATCATGCTATATGTTTGCATCCTGCTTTTTATACTTAATGTTACCTTAATTTCTGACAAAGCAGTTCATTTCAGGTTATTTCAAGTAGAACTGGTGCTAAAGAGGCTACCTATAACTGAGAGGTCAATATTCCAGAAATTTCCATCTATCATTTTCTAACTCACTCTTACAGCAATTCTTACAGAATATCCCTATAGTCTAGCCTTCTGGGGAATGTCTGCCCATCCAGTGAGTGCTACAATGAACAGCAGTGTCTGGTAGGCCACAGTATTCATGAAGCACCAAGTAAAGAATTTTGACTTGGAGTGGGCAAAAGTTGGAGCTGTCATCCAGAGATAAGTGCTTAGTCTTGAATCTGCCGCTAGCCATACAATCCTGAGCAGATCAGTGACTGCATCTTTCAACTGATTAAACTGCCAAAGGCCAGGATCCACCTGTCTCTCCACTAAGACTCGCTCTGAACACACTATGCAAAGTCAAAGGGTGAAAAAAATCAATGCAACACAAGCAACAGCTGTAGGAATTTAAAACAAAGAACAAGAGGAAGAGTCTTAAAAAAATAGGTATGTTAGAGAAAAAAGGTTAAGGGAACAAAGTAGCTGAGATCTTTAAGAAGGGTTGGGGGAGAACACCAAGGGCATCAGTAACTCCAACCTACTCTGTTTTTCCTTTTATCCTTCATGCTTTATCCAGTGGACCAGCTTTCAATAAAAGAGAGATGCAGGTAAACAAAGTGCACCCTCCATTCTAAATATTCTCTAAATATTCCAAGTATCGCTACTAAAATAATTACTGGGCCACTCCAGTGGTAAATAAAACCTCTCTGGCTATATTTCTCAAGGCCCAAGAATCCTAGTTACTTGAGACCACAGTTTGTGGTCTTCAAAAATTATCTATGATACATTTCACAATATATACAAATAGTGAATCATTCTGTTGTACACCTGAAATTAATGTTATGCTGTAGGTCAATTATACCTCAAAAAAGAAAAATAATTTGTCTAGTATAATTTAATTTGCATATTCTGCATAATCTGCACGGCAACCATTACAACCCAGTACTGCTGTGTGATTTCATTGCTTACATCTGCATTTATAACTAGTATGTAATTTTATAACTGAGTAGCACTTATTTCATGTATCAAGCAGGCAGGTTTAATATATAAAGGCTAGATTTCACCATGGGAAGGCCAAATGACACTACTGTCAGATGAAGGTTCCGCAGTATTTTTTTTTTTTTTGAGAGGGCATCTCTCATATTTATTGATCAAATGGTTGTTAACAATAAAATTCTGTATAGAGGACTCAGTGCACAATCATTAATCCACCCCAAGCCTAATTCTCGTCAGTCTCCGATCTTCTGAAGCATAACGAACAAGTTCTTACATGGTGAACAAATTCTTACATAGTGAGTAAGTTCTTACATGGTGAACAGTACAAGGGCACCGCAGTATTTTAATAGAAATAAAAAGTGATAACCACAGGGCAATAGCAGGAGCATTCCAAATTCCATCAGTACCAACTGTTTCACATTCTCCCTATTGTTACATTAACATAGATTAGAATTTCACTGGATATGTAATTTCACTTGGTTTTATAACTTGTAAATATGTTGTTTTACAAATAAGAATTTCATAACTAGTTTTATGCTTACATGTAATAAAATAATATATTAGTAATGAGTCCACAAAGGGGCGTCTTACATTACTCAAGTTTGAGAGAAACTTGCCTAAGTCCCAAACCCTCGACTCCTGCTGATTTTACAAAGAAAAATATTCAGCACACACTTATCATGTGCAAGGGCTGTGCTAGCGGCTCTAATTCATGCCTGCACCTATAATGTTAGATATTTCATTAATACTAACATATAACCAGTGGGCGATGATTCACCGTGCGTTTCCCTCTATGGCGCGTTAACACTGTTTCTGAAAGGGGTCTAATATACCTTTACTTGGGATGCAGTAGTCACAGCAATATTTTTAAAAATCAGAATAAGTACTTGGCTGCGTCCTGACGCTGGGGCTTCAAGTTATCAAGGGAGTGGGGAGAACAATTTCATACATGGAAAAGACGTGGAGGAGTCCATTACCTGAGTCCCTCAATCGGGCGAGTTCCTGCCGACGTCTCCTTCGTTTCTCCTTCTTCAAGGCGGCCCTGTACTTTCTGCGGCTGTAAGATGGAGCCACAGGCACACAGCAGCGTCACGGGCCGCCCTGGCACCACTGCCGGGGCCCCCCTCTCCTCGCCGCCCAGTGACAGGAAACAGCTCGGGGGCTCGGGAGTGCAATCTTGCTTCCCGTGCTTTAGTTACAGAACGTACACTTACCATCGCCGCGCCACTCCACACGCAGACTGCAGGTCATCTCCATCCCGCCCCCCATTTCTGTCCTCGCCCCCGAGCGCCGTGACAGTCGCGGGCACGCCCCGCGCAGGGCTTCTCCTCCTGCGGCGGCTCGCTTGCTTGGTCCGTTTTTCTGCCCGCACGCCCTCCACTCGCCCAGCCTCGGCCCGCTCGGTCCCCTCTTCTCGCCCGTTCAGCTCCCTCAGCCCAGCTTACCTCGGTTTCTCTGGAATCGCCCCGAGGACTTCCATTTCAGTAACGCTGCGACTCTCAGGGTAATGGACTAAAATGGGGAGCGTAACAAAGAGCGCGCAGGCGCAGATGTCGCACAGCCTTCCGGTTTGGGCGGGTGGCGTTCCTCTGGCCCGGCGGACCGTAGACAGCAGGGTGAGGATTCGGTAAGTGGCTCGTCTTCCAAAACACTTCGCAAATAAATATCTCCTTCCTAACATTCCTACCTGGTCCTGGAAGTAATTCTTCCTTCCTGGCGCTTCCCTACTGCCTTATCACTAGCTTTCCCCCACACCATAGTGGGGTGTCTTGTGGCCGGGAGTTTAAAATCACCTGTGTCGCTCTTTTGTCTTCAGCCATTCACCAGGCCTCTGTCTCACGGCTGCCCGCCTGGCCTCTCAGTCCCCCGTATCCAGGCTCCGCCTCCTCCCGCGGCTCCACCTATCATCGCCTCAGACAAAGCTCGAGCCTCCGCTCCATTCACGCCCACCGGCCGGCTTGTCGGTTCTCCCGATTCCTACAGATAAATCAAATTCGGGGATTGCGAAGAGGCAAGCGCTGATCCCAGGGAATTTACAATCTAAGAGGCAGAGAAGGGCTAATACATAGATAAGACAGAATGGCAACTAAGTTTACTTAACATAGTCCACCTGGGGATTCAGGGAGAGCTTTCTGATGCCTGAGTTGAGTTTTGAGGGAAGGTGGCCTTTACACGTATGGAGAAGGGTAGGAATGGAAATGCAGGTAAATTAGCAAAGCAAAGGCGCTGAGTGGGCGGTGAAATTATGTGGAATCTGCCAAAAACCGCAAGCATTTTGGCCATCATATTTAAAGGGTGCTTCCAGAGTTTCCAGGAATACAGCGGTAGAGGTGGGCTGGGGCTACGTAATGCAGGAGGGCCTATTATGCCATGCTAAAAAGCTGTAATTACGTTCCGTACATAACAGGGAACCATTGAAAACTTTGGAGTTGAGCCTTGTCGTGAACGTATTTGTGTTTTGGGTAAATTATGCTGGTTTGCAATATAAAGGATAAAGCTGGAATATCACAATCTAGGTCAGAGGTGATAGGGAATTAAACAGGGGCAATAAAAGTAGGGACTGAGAAACTAAAACCAGGTCTGCTAATAATCAGACTGTGATGTAGACATACAAGGCTAGGAACAAGACTAAGAAAAATGTTTTCCCAAAGACATGTTGCAGCTGCAAAATGATGAACAATTACCATCTTTTGAGTGATTGGGTAACTTCCTGGCCTAGTTTGTTCGTCACTCCTCCAAACCAAAATTACTGAGCTATGCAATTGCTAAACTTATTCCCTGCTTCCCCTAGCACCTCCTTGGAATCATTCCGCAGAAGCCCAAACTCTGCATAAAGCCTTGCCTTGCCCTACTCCCTTACAGAGACACTTGGAGTAACATACCTCCAAGGTAACTTTGTCCAGCTCAGTGCACCAGTAATTAGGGACATAGGCTTTGAAGTGGGATGGACTGGGAAACTCAAACCCTGGCTCTCTGATCTTGAGCAAATTCCTTAATGTCTAGTCTTCAGTTTTCTCATCTGCAAAAATCAAAATAGTAATAATAGTTCCCAAATGCATGCCATATGTTAGCATAGTGCCCGGCAATAGTTAGTGTCCCCAAGATATTATATCACCATCATCATCATCAGTGTGAAAACTCCCTGATCCCCTCAAGAGTGAGTTAAATACTTGCCCTGTGTGTGCTCCCAGCATGGGTATTTCATCACCTTTTATAACATCTAACACACTATATTGTACTATGTTGCCTTCACAAGTCTGCTTCTTGCACTGTATCTTAAACTCCCTAAAGGTGGACACTTGGCAGTTATAGCCCCTAACTATATATAATGCCAAGTGGCACAAAGTGTAGCTGTGCAAATCACCAATTTTGCTGGTTCCTGTGACCAGAACTTATGCTGAGAATTGCCGCCATTCTGAAAGCATCAGTGTTTGGGTTGCTGTTCCATTTCTTACAAATCAGACCAGACTTTCATGTCAGAACAGTAAGTAATGTCTTCTAGGAAGATACTCCTAATTAAAAAAGAATTCAGACTCAGATTTTATTTTATGTTGATTTGAAAATGAATGTCAATCTCCTTTTACAGGAGTTAAACATTTATCTTTAACAGTTAATCACTGAATTCATTTTTATGAACAAGCTTGAATTGGTCAAGTTAATTTCATTACAGAAGTTAGTTTTGTAGTGTGCCCCTCGTTTAGTGTTTTCTCGGGTGAAATGGGAGAACAAAAAACACAGGACAACACAGACAGACAATGGCTGCAGCCCCGTTGTGGCGCAGCACCTTTATTTTTATACTGCCTTTCTCAGACCTCAGCCAAGTGCTATAACCATCTTTCCCTTCTCAGGGGGGACAGGCCAGAACATCTTGTTGATTTTCTTAGAAGCTGCCTAATAAGCAGGAGCGGTGTTTTCACACTTCCTCAAGGTCTCCCTATTTTCGGCGTGAGGTGTCTTGGCTCGTCTTTGAGGACAAGATATGTTGTTGTGGGCAGATAACTTCCAAGGACTGTGCCAGTCGTTCTCAAGCTGGTGCTTCCCCATGCTGCGTTCAGACATGGGGGAAGGCAAAGGTCGTCCCCTGCAAGTTTAAACCCAATTCCATTTCCAAAGTATAGTCACCATCATTTAAATTCAATAAATCATAAGATAAAAATAAGGTATGTAAAAATTCAATGTAAAGATACATTCTACTATGATGGTCTCATAACTAGAACAGTTATCCTTATTTTGCAACATTACATGTATTTTCTGTTTTTCTTGGTGCCTGAAATACAATATCTACTTATTCTCAAATATGTATATTTCTGTTTATTCCCCCCATGGGAAATGCCTAAATTTTTATTTTATGTTGTCAGTAGAAAATAGCTGATTATCTTTAATAAGTTAAAGAAAATATTTTACTCATAGCTGTGATGTAATAGATAATGCCGTTACTAAGTACAAGTCTTAGTTACTATAAAATGACTAAAGAATGATCCAAAGATGTATATTTCATTTATTACAAGCACAAAGGGAGAGCAAGGAAAAAGTACTCTCTGAATGCCAGGTTGGCACTCTTTCAATTAATTTGTTTACAAATTTATTCACAGACTTAAAGTCAGGTCTCAAGTACTCTCTAACCCTCATTGCTAAGCCAAGGGCTTTAAATATTTTCCAGATTACACTTATAACCCAAAATAGTAAGATAAAATACTTATGAATGCACATTAATATACAAATGCATGCAAATCTATGTTTATACAACTGATAAAAGTTCTCTTTGGAGGAAGAACTATCCAGTGATCATTCTTATTACTTGATTCTTTTGTCTAGTGATAAGCTCAACTGCTTGTGGCTTGAGAAGAAATAGTGGCAGAGCTGTCATCCCCACCTAGAACCCAAATCAAAGTACCATTTCTGAAGAGTAATTGAATTAAAAAAGTAGGACTCAAAATGCACATGGTGACAAGTGTCATAGTCCATTTGGGTGCCATAACAATATGTCAAAGACAGGCTTGTAAACAACAGCAATTTCTTTCTCACAGTTTTGGAGGTTGGGAAGTCCAAGATCAAGGTGCCAGCAGATTCAGTGTCTGGTGAGTACCTCCTTACTGATTCATAGATGGTCGTCTTCTCACTGTATCTTTACATGGTAGACGGAGTGAGGAAGCTCTCTGGGGTCTTTTTATAAGGCCACTGGACCCCTCATAAGGACTCTACCCTCATGACCTGTGTACCTGCTGAAAGCCCCACCTCCTGATACCATCACACTGGAGGTTAGGTTTCAACATAGGAGTTTTGGGGAAACACAAACATTGAGTACCTAACAACAAGAATGTTTTACTATTTATTTGCAAGGTAGCCAGTATTGTTTATACCTACTAATCATGTGGTAAAATTAGAGCTTATTTGCTTAAATGAACTATATCTATTTTTAATCAATTGTTTTACATGAAGGAACCAAAAAAATTTAATTAAAAAGGCAATAAAAAATGTAGAATAGATATCAAGTAAACAATGTTGATTCTTCTAGTGAGACAGAAGATACCTAAAGTGATTACAATCCCGTAGTTTTGCTAAATATCATGTGTGCCAAAAGAATGTGTCCCCTAGCAAACAAAGGAATGGCATCTTCTTAAATGTCTTTGAGGTGGGTGCCTGGTTTTAGAATAGCCAAATTTTCCCCAACTCAGGTAGCCCTGGAAAAGTAGAAAGCAGCTAGCAGCTTGCCCTACCAGTGATATCAGCAAATTGTGCATTGGTTGGACAGAAAGAGGTGAGTGAGGAGTACTGGGTGGTTCCTTCCATTCCTGCTTCTCTAATAAATCCCTTTGGAGTTCTCCAGTCACTTTCTGATCTACATGGCAAAGGATGTCTTACTAATTTTACAGACATCTTACATACTCAAAAAAGCTAATAGGAAGAAAAAGTCATTCAACAAACACTTATATTGTAAAGAAAGGGTTTTATTATATTACTTAATGAAGATAAGCAGCAATTTTTTTATTTTGGTATCATTAATCTACAATTACATGAGGAACGTTATGTTTACTAGACTCACCCCATCACCAAGTCCCCCCCCCACAAGCCCCATTACAGTCACTGTGCATCAGCGTAGTAAGATGCTGTAGAATCACTACTTGTCTTCTGTGTTGCACAGCCCTCCCCGTGCCCCCCCCCACATTACACATGCTAATCATAATG